ATTTATTGTAATTTCATTTCAGTAATTTTAAAATATATAAGTAATTATTAAAATTGTTAAAAACATAAGCTTTATTTTTAAAATTTTGTCTTCTTTTCTTCTTGACCCATCATAGGGACTGTTCCGCCAAAAGAAAAAGTCAAAAGACATCAAAAGAAATGAATGTGTACTTTTCTTTTCCATTCTTCGGTTTTCCTTTTATTTTATTTTTATTTTTTTACTAATCTTTTTATATCTAATAATTATATTAAATTTAATTAATTTAAAATTAAATTACATTATATTTCATTTAAAAAAATTTCTCAACATTTATTTTTTTATTTACAAAATTTAATCCCAAAATACCAGAGAATCAATTTTTTTTCACATCATTGATTTTATTTTGTTTTAAAAGTCTTTTTCCAAGTCCAAACAAAGGGTGCTGAGAAAATCTAAAATAATAAAAAAATAAAAAAATCATGTGGCAAACTACCTGGCAGTCGTTGAGCTCATACCCTAGAAGCCAGTAAGGCAAAGGGAACAGATTGGTGGATGGAATGCAAATCCAAGATTACAAGAGATTTTATTCTCCTCTCAGAGATGATGGATACTGGCAGGAATACAGAGGCTGGAAAGTTGTTGAGGTTGAGTCTCCTGCTTATTTTTCTGGTAACTTTAGCAGTGGTGGTGTGTGGTGCTGAGCAATATAAAAGAGATGATTTCCCCTCGCCTCCTGGGTTTGTTTTTGGTGCAGCAACTTCAGCATATCAGGTTGGTTTGCTTTTATTTTGGCATGAATTTTAGTGATTTCATTTTTCTTTTTCTGCTGATTTCAAAAGGGTAATAATATTTGTTGAAACTGGTGGAAGGTGGAAGGTGCTGCAGACCAAGATGATAGGACGCCAAGCATATGGGACACCTTTGCACACGCAGGTATGCTCTACTATTCCTAGATATCCCTCCCTTTTTTGGTGAGTTTGTGGTAGCAGAAAGTGAGCTTATAATATATCATCATGTCATCCCATGGAAACTGTTTATTGTTTTTTTTTTTAAAGAGGATGGGTATTTCAGCAAAAGGGTAATAACCCATATAAATATTTCAGAAAACACAAGCAAAAATTACAGTAAGGAATTGTTTAACTTTTATCTAATACTAAAATTAGGTTCAAGAGGGCACTTAGAAGAAATTTACAAGAATCTAAAACCAGGGCTTGAACCTGAAGGATAAGGCTTGAACCTGAAGAAAAAGAGAGAGGCTTTCATATGATTAAATCATATGTTTGTTCGTGGTAACAAAAGAGAGAGGTCTTAAGGAGGAAAAGAACTTGGGTTTTTGCTTCATTGGGTAATATTTGTTTATGCTTATATGATATCTTATGTAGCCATTTGACTACTTAAGCTTACAGGGTATATGGATGGAGCCAATGGTGACATAGCATGTGATGGTTATCACAAGTACAAGGTATGCATTCTCTTATTTACTTGTTGCACTTCAGGCCCATGCAATTGTATTCTAGTTTATGGCTATATTTTAACAACGATCTAGTTAAGTGTGGCATAATATATCATTTGAGAAAATATTTGATGAATGATGGGGTTCATGAATGTATGCAGGAAGATATCCAACTCATGGTAGATACAAGCTTAGAAGCCTACAGATTTTCCATCTCGTGGTCAAGACTAATCCCAAGTAGGAGAATTTCTGGTCATTTCAAGAAAATGGGAAGTATGCAATTTTTGGTTCTTTTGCTCACTTGAAATGCTGTTTTTCTTTGTTTCAGATGGAAGAGGACCTGTCAATCCCAAGGGCTTACAGTATTACAATGACTTCATTAATGAACTAATAAGAAATGGTTAGAGACAATTCACCCATCGTGAATAAGGCCAATGCCACTAGATTTTCATCTAAGTAGTTCATTTCTCCTGACATGTCTTGACCTCTTGCTAAACCAGGAATCCAACCACATGTCACATTGCATCATTCAGATCTCCCACAGGCACTTGAAGATGAGTATGGTGGATGGGTTAGTCGAAATATTGTGTAAAGTTTTAACCTATAGTCTCAACTCAACAGGGTCAACATGTCCTTCAGCGCAGCGTGGTTGAATTAAAAATGAAATATGTGCGTTTTTATGCAGGAGAGACTTCACAGCTTATGCAGATGTATGCTTCAGAGAATTTGGGGATAGGGTTTTGCACTGGACTACAGTGAATGAAGCCAATGTGTTTGTACTAGGAGGCTATGACGTTGGGATGCTAGCACCAAGGAGATGTTCTCTTCAATTATTCAACTGTTCTAAAGGCAATTCATCCTCTGAACCATACTTGGCTGCCCATAATATCTTATTAGCACATGCAGCAGCTGTCAAACTATACAAGCAAAATTATCAGGTCTCATCACAACCATATAAGCTTATAATCAATATATACATTGACATAAGTCTTTAGTCTCAAAAACCAAAATCCTGCTCCATTAACTCTTTTTTTTTTTGGCCAACCAAACTTATTGCTCCATTAACTCTCGTTGCAGGAAAAGCAACTTGGATTTATAGGACTCAATCTCTTCAGTTATTGGTTTGTTCCTTTCTCAAATACAACAGAAGACATGATTGCTACCCAGAGAGCTAATGATTTCTTTGTTGGTTGGTAAGCTACTGATTAGGAAAAACCATATTTCGACATTATTCTTACAGATTATAACATCACCATGTTATGATAATTGGAAGTAAGGGAGTTTTCAACTTTTTGGCAATTTTCTTTAACACAATTTTTGCAGCATATTGATTAGAGTGGAGTTTTCAGTGT